CAAAAGTTCTGCTCTTATCGAGAATCCAACTTCTTACGGGTTACGCAAAGTTAGATAATTATCGAATGTGGTGTCATCGATGAAAAAAAGAGCTAAAAACGCGTAATTATAATCGTAATACTCGCAATCTAGCAAATATTATCGCAAAAATTTTAAGAAACGTATTTAGAAATATTAACGGTTGTATGATAAAATGTGTCACATTACGAAATAAAAATGCTGTACAAAGTGATATTCGACAAAACTTTGTTCGCCTAATATGTTACATGTACAATTTTAATACAGTAGATTTATCTCTATCGTATAGAATATATTATTCGATTTTAACGCAAATTAAAAAAAAAAAAAATAAAATAAAACAATTATTTGTGTGTATAATAATCCTCTTGTCGTCTTTCGCTTTTTGTTTGCATTATTAGAATGCAATTATTGCATTACGTCGTTCTTGGATTGATTGTTGATAATATCCACGACGTACACTCTTTGGTTATGATGCATTCTACGTATGTGAGATCTAACATTCGACGAATGTCTCGTGCAATATGAACAATAAGGGCAACAGAATCTCGGCATCTGGCCACACTGAAATTTCAGATGCTTGTACAAATTATTCTTTCGCGTGAAAACGTTGCCACATTTGTGGCAAGAATACTTTTTGCTTCGCTCGTGATTCTGCATGTATTGGTGACCATCGAGATAACACGGATGACGCGATACTGGATAACGAACACCTGCGAACAGAAAAGGTTTTACCAAATAACTACGTCGAATCGTTTTCATTTGGTTGGGAGACAATGATATATGAGAGACACATTTTTGTGATTTCTTATTCGAATTCGATTCGATTGTCAATGATGTAAATATTGTTTGACGTGAAAGAAGCCGTTATGTACATAGATTAATTTAATTATAATTAGATGAAATTGATAGAAGGAGAGAGAGAGAGAGAGAGATGAAGATATTAATTTTTCTAAATATAAAAGTATAAATATTTTAAATAATGGGAAATAAATTCGTAGATTCGTTAAATAAAAATAAATTACGATGAAAAGGTTGCAATTGGAAGTGTTATGGGTGATAAAAATAATCTTTCCTAAATAAATATAAATATTAATATAATTAAGAACTTTAAGAGGATATTCCAGTCCAAAATGTTTATTTTAAAATTAATTTCAGAATTTTTTTCAAAAATTACCACAAGATTTTATGTTACATATATTTTAAGAACATCTTTATCATCATTTTTGATTAAAAATAATTAAACTCGAATTATAAATTTTGATTATTTAAATTGAAAAAGCAATTTTCACTTTTAAATATTTCTTAAAGGGATAATCGATTTTTCAAACATCCATTAGTTGTATAAATATGGATCTGTATATTTAATTTCAAAAATCAATGAGTTTAAAAATGCGAAAAGATGGATCTTATATCGATCTAAACTAAAATATCCCCTTGAAAAAAAGAAAGTTTCTGAAGAATCTGAAAATAACACGATCGACACGCACTATGAAAAATCACAGTTTGAAATCTTGTTTATATCTATAACGTAGACCTCGTTGCCAGGATGAATTCTGCGCACGTGGGCACGCACATTAGAAGGATGTTTCGTTCTGTACACGCAATAAGGACAATTAAATCGTGGCGACTGTCCACACTCGAATTTCAAATGATATTGAAGATTGTGTCTTCTGCTGAACACGCTGTGACAATTCCCGCAAGGAAACTTTTGCACATGTTGTTCGTCCGTTCGCGAGAACGTGCTTCCTCTGATCGACGACCAACGAACTTCCTTTTCCTTCTGATGCGGTATTAAGTAGTTTGTCTCTGAAAAAAAATCACAAATATCTCGTTCACATATTGCTCGGCCCCAAAATTTTCAAGAAATTCTCGAAACTTCGTATCATGTTTCGTCTTCAAACTTTTAAGATTTTTAGGCTCGAATTAAAAGTATTAACAACTTCGAACTTCGGCTCAACTCGGCAATAATCGGAAGTGATCTCGGAGCTACGGAACCCGATCACGTCCGATTATTACCGAATCGAGCCGAAGTCGGATTAACGTTTATATTCGAGTCTCAGAATCTGGAAAGTTTTCGAAACTTTGAGAATTCTTAGAGTTTTTAAATTCCGAGCAACATAAAAATATTACTATAATCCCAAATCGAGGTCCAATATATCTTACAATATATAAAATATACAATATATAAATATACAATAATATCACGATATAAAGAAAAAACATATGATATACGTACGAAGGAAACGACATGCACGCAAGGATTTTTCAAAGAACGAGTGAGTGTTCGTCGGATAAGGATGATTTTTATTAAAATTCGGTGATCGAAGCGCAATTTATCACGCAATTTTTCATCTACATATAGCACTTTAATCGTATGCTTCGCTCAATGCTGAACACTCATCAGATCGACAACGTAGACTTCTCTATCCGGATGCTTTCTACGCACATGGGCCCTAACGTTCGACGTGTGTTTAGTCCTGTAAGCGCAATAGGGACAGTTGAATCGGGGCAATTGTCCACAAGCGTACTTCAAATGATGTTGCAGATTGTACCGCCAGGTGAACGTACGCCCACATTTTGGACATAGGTGTCTCATCTCCTTGCGGAGAACTCGAGGATGAGCCGTTTTACGATTAGCCATCGCGCGACACCATCCGTAATTTTGGATGTGGTTCGATAACTGCTCTGGAAAATACAAACGTTCTCGTGGTTAATCGTTTTAGATGGATGTCACGACACGGTTTCAATTTCAACACATCTAACAATTAAATCACTCGCCACGCTGCTCGATCGAAGGATTCGTTTCACAAACGCGCAGAAAAATCACGAAACCATTTTCGTTTCGGGAAATAATATCACGGAAGTGACATTCTTCTTTTTTTATAACATTGCATAATATATGATTTATCAACGTTTTGCAAAAAAAGAAAAAATATAAAAATGTTATCTTTTCGAAATAAAATTCAATAAATTCCATAGTAAAAGAGGGGGGAACAAAAGATTCTCAGACTGTCGCCAAGAAACGTCAGAATGTCAACTGCTGTAAATAATCTGGAAAAAAATTATTTTTAAATGACATGTAAAAAAAATGATTAAATATTAAAAATTACAAATGATGATTTGAATGAATGATACTTGAAGCGATACTAAAAATGAGCTTATATTTTTAAGAATTTGAAAAAAATGAAACATTATGAAATCGAATGATTGTCACTTTTTGTTCGTATGTATATATATATATATATATATATACATTGCCTATTTATTATAACATCTTCTCTGTACAAACAAAATCGCAATTTTAGATCCGTAGATCAATAAAATGACTTTCTTTTACTTTGCTTTCCGTTTCTAAACATAAAAATTTCCTTTCTTTTCGGTAAAAAAGTACAAATGGAACGCAAAGTGGTAAAGTAAAAGAGAGAGAGAGAGAGAGAGAGAGAGAGAGAGAGAGACGCGATTATCGATGTTTCCAAGAAGAAACATAATCGCGGGAGAAATAACGGTATCCCTTTTTAAAGGAAATTTAATTTTATCGATTTCTTTAGAAATCGACATTACAATTTCATATGGACAATTGTATATCTTAAAATACATTTCGTTTAAAAACATCTTTATCTATAATATATTAAGTCGTACTTTTTGCGAATATAGATCAAATGTTTTTCATTGCCACCAGTGGCCATAATACATTATTAGCCACTTCGATCAGACTAGAATTATTCTCGATTATTAAACAAAAATAAAAAAAAAAATAATTCAGTTACATTTGATTCGCAAGTTTTATCAAAATGTTTTTTTAAAGACAATAATGAGGATAAGTGTGATTATCATATGATAGAATATGGAATGAACGATATGCGATTCCTCGTGGATTTTATCATAGAGGATAAGATTTCGGACAACTTTTTTTCCATTTTTGCATTTAATCGCCGATTTTCCAAATATCTGTAAAAAATAATTGCTACGATAATATTAAATCGCATTCACACCTGGTATCCATCAAAGAATTAATTTATATCTTATTTTTGCACAATGCTCAAACTTCAGCATACATATATGGCAATCACTTTTTACAAATATCTCGAAAACTAAAACCAATATGGTTACTCACACAGAAAAGAAAGTTGTTCAACATCCACGAAGACGTCTCAAATCCTAGATTCATTCCTCGGATATGTAACGTCTGCATATCTAAAAAATACACGTGGGAGGATTGTTCGAAACCAACTTTAAATCCATTTTACAAAAAA